GACATCATTAGGTTTGCATTCGTGTACGTCCATTGACCACAAGCGAGAATCTCTCAAGTGGAGGCTCGTCAGCGTGCATAACCGTCGAAGGGGAAAAGACAGTGTGCATCTCGTCGTTGGCAAAGGCTTACACTTTCGACCGGGTCTATGATCAAAACTCCTCCCAAGTGCTGCTACTGCTGCTATTACCCCTCGGAAAACTGGTTCTTCCAGAACGCACTATACACCGCTTCTATTGAGCCCCTCGTTGACCAGTTCTTCGCGGGCTACAACTGCACAGTGATTGCGTATGGTCAAACAGGTGAAGGTCTCGGGTTCGATCCCGGCTCCCTGCATTTTTCATCCTTAGGTTCTGGTAAGACCTACACCATGGGTAGCGCGAGCTACGTATCCCAGGACTCTGGCCTCATCCCTCGAGTGAGTTCACTGAATCGTCCAGTTCCGATCACCTTTACGAATGAACAGGTCATTGGAGAAATTTGTCGACGAGTTGAAGAAAGCAATCCGGAGGAGACTATCGAGCTCACATGCAGGTCGGTTGCCGTACCATCGCCAACCTCCTGATATACCCATCGTAGCATAGTGTTTTCATCGGAGAGGAAATTCGCTGATTGTGCAATTTGAATTTGGAGACAGTTAAAATCTCTGTAGTACATGAAAACAATGGCAATTTTATGATGCGTAGTAGTAGTTGTAGTAGTAGTAGAAGTAGTAGCAGTAGTAGCAGTAGTAGTAGTAGTAGTAGCTGATAGACTCACTAAGTCTACAGCGATCGGGCTGCGTCCATTTCAGTTTTATTGAGCTCTACAACGAGGAGATTCGAGATCTACTCGACCCCTCAGCAGCTGCACTAGACCCTGCTCCATGTGAGTCGTGTGATGCCGCTTGCAAGGGCGCGCACAGCGAAGATTTGGGATGTGGTGGTATCTTTCAGCCCGGTCGGCTAACAATGGTCTTGCTGGTGGAAAACGTGGAATCAGCCGAAGTACTTCTTCAACGGATAAGATTCGAATTATTGAAGACCCGACATCGAAGAACATCATTGTAAGTAGCGCGCGCCCTGGTGATCGATAACATCAGCATCGTTATGCTATTGCTAAGGTTATCGGTTGTACTGAGGAACCAGTGGAGTGTGCTGCTGACCTACACCTATGTCTAGATCGGGGCTCAGTCGTGAGACAGTAAGGCTAGCTGGGTCGGTCTGTTGTCGATTACAGCTGCATTGAAAGGCTTAAACATTGCGTTTTGAATTATCACATTTGACGGGGGGTCGTACAGAAGTATGACTTCAGGACGGCCTCAACCGGTATGAACAGTCAGTCTTCCCGCAGCCATGCCATTTTCACAATAGGGATGGTCGTTCGAAGTGAGCGCGTGGGGGCGGGCCGCGTTCTTGAGTTGAACTTATTGATGATAACGATAAGAAACCATGAAAGACTAGTACTAGTAGACAGTATAGAGAATGAGAGCTCCATATAAAATCTTGCGATGTTGTTATCGATGGTTCTTTCCAGTTTTTATAACATTATTTTCAGTATTATATTCATAGCTCATCATGTAATGGAGTTTCACCCGTGAGATGGAAAAAACACAAGTGAAAAATATATTTCACGACTACTGCATATCGCGTTTTTCACCGAGTATTACGCTACTTCACGTAAAACGGGTGAAACTCCAATTTAGGCCTACGTTATATACAAAACGCCTACAAAAAGCGCGCAGATTCTTGGGAAATTAATATTTCAGATTAGAGCTTTCTTGAAACAAAGCCGACTTCAGAATGTAACTCAGCGATGTTTATTGCGTAAAAAATTCCGAACGGCTCGTCCCGGCCATTATTCTCACCTTCTAAAGATATAATAGGAATTTATACAGTGTTAT